TCAAACTCAACTATTTTTTTAGTCACATATTTAGAGTAGAGCTGTCAGTACGAGCTTGGCTCACTAGACCAACCCAACCCAGTTCTATATGTGATTTGATTGGATTGAGTTATGATTTTTGGAGCTTGTTCAAAAATGAGTCTTTAGTCTGGTACAAGAAAGCTCACTAACATGTGAGGTTCGAACGAGGTTGGGTTGGTCAGCTTGTAAACCAAATAAAACATAATAATACTAAAATTAAAATGATATAGAGTACCTAGAGGGCATTTGATCATAAAATTGCGAAGTATAAGTTTTTTGCATTGTTAGTGGACTCTCTTCTGACATTGGATTATTTTTCCTGAATTAGTAAAGTCAAAACAAATTTTGCTGCCTCCATTTCAAAGTGGTAGTTGATAAGCCTACATTAGCTACCAAATAATCATATTGCCAAAGTCAACTTAAATTAATTTTAATTGCTTTATAATGAAAGTTAATAAAGGGCACTGTATGAATTTGAACTTTGGTTTAAATTTAAAATTGTCTACTTGGACATTTGAAATGGGAAACTAATCTTTTCAAGATGATGGAATATTTTAGTATGACGAAAGTATACTTCGATAAAAATGTGTGAAAATTCTACCAAAAAATTATGATGGGATGAATATGATTCTTCTACCCTTAATCCCACCAGGTAATGGATTCGACTAACATCAATCATGAATGAAATGTTTTTTGGTGGGGAGCACTTACCATTAATTAGACCTTACGTGATAGAAATCTGAATTAGTCAGGCCAACAAAACAGAAACAAATTCGGTGTTTTGGTGTCTAACATCTAATCCCAAACATTAGGTGATTCTAATTAATACAATTACACGTTAGGAAGACAAGGCTTTAACATTTAAGCAGGTACATATATTTGATGTCAAGGACTTGATCTGTTGTGTAAATGACCAATTGGAGTAGTAATTAGGAAATAAGAGAAGTTTTCAAAGATGATTAGTTAGTAGTATTTGGTGAGGAAAAAGATATATATCTGCCATTTATATTTCTAAGTTTAGTTTTCCTTGGAATTTTAATTTTGAAGTGTGGGATTTAATGACTTTGGATAGAGACCTTTAAATCAAAATATAATCAAATATTTGGTGAAGAATTATTATTATTCTAGGGTGAAGTCCATGGTGTAAATTTTTTAACAAATAACGACTTCACACCATTTAAATGTAACTATTTGTTAGAAATCAAGGGTCGTGAAGTAGTAAATATTCTTTTCATCTTTAATCACAAGTTTTGAGTTTAAAGCTTAAATATAAAATTACTTTTGATAGGAAAGTAATTTACCTTTGAAATACAATTTTCAACACAAATCTAAATTAATCCAATCTCAAAGCAAATATCGAACGAGTGCGGAGAAAATAGAAGAGGAGGTACGTACTGTGTTACCTAAATATTTCCAAACTGGCCTAGCAAAAATCTCCCGTTATTAAAGAATATGATTTGAACATTTAATGCTGGTATTAATTTGGACCCATCGTTGTACACCACTTGCAGAGTTATGATATCTACTTGGCATAATCGTATATGTGCAATACCAATTTTTAGATGGCTAAGGCTGCATTATTAAATACTATGCTATTTTCTTATTTTTCTCATTTTTAAGTTATTTATTTTTTATAGAGGACTAATTTTCGACTGATCAAAATTTTTAATTTTTCCTTTCATACCGAACACATCCTAAATCGTGAATTTCTTGCGAGATGTACTCCCGCTAAAACCATCATATCATATAATATAGATGGGAGAGAGTATAATGTTTATCAAATTAAAAATGCTTATAAGTTGTGTCTTTCATTAAATATAACTTATAAACACTTAATTTATAAGGACTTTTGGTGTGCCCTAAACGTGTAAATGCTTATTTACTTCTTTGGCATACATGAATTTCGGTTAAATATACAACAACATTAATTAATAAAATAATAACAATATCTTAATTATATATAAGTTAGAAATCAGCTATATAAATCCTCACCGTAGTATTTCTTTCTTTTAAGATAATATAACCGAATACAAGACATAAAAACTAAAACTGGGGTCAGTATAACAATTAAAAAACAAATCTGAAAAAGTACGTACTAGCTAGTAGTACTAACCAACATTCAATAAGAAGTTGATGAAAAAACATTTAATGTTGTAGTAAATTTAACGAAAGAAAGTTAATAAATTATTTCACCAGAGCCTACCAAAGGTTGGTTTAATATATCGTTTTGTTACAGGTTTATTGGTAAAACTATTCAAAGTTTACTGAGAAGAATTAAATACGGAAACATCAGGAGTTAGGATGAGAATTATTCACTCTTTTTCCAAGTGTTGTTTTTAATTTGCGCTAAATTCATCCTCAATCAGTTCTCGAATTCGAGCCTAGGGAGAAAATCTTGTTGGGAGCGTCACCTCAAATGGGTCATGCAGTGCGCAATTCAAATTTTTCAAATTTTGTCGGGAACCCAATACGAACAACAAATGCCAAATGGAAAATCAAGAAAAAGAACTACTTGATAACTCCAAAAAAGTTGGAAAATATTTTTTTTTACTAATTTATTCTTAATCAAATATCTTAAACAGGGCCGACTCAACAGCATTGGGGGCCTAAAGCGAAACTTAAAAGAGGGGCCCTAATTTTTTTTCATCATATATACTTTTATTTAATATCTACTTTTCTAGCTATTTTAGATGTGAAGTCATTAGGTACTGTATTATAATCAATTTGTTTTAATAATTTCTTTTCAAATAATGATATAGCTAATTCATTCAATCTCTCTTTAGACATTGTTGATCTTAAAGAAGATTTAATCAATTTTAATTTCGCAAAAAACTTATTTCGGCTAAGGCAATAGTTACAGGAACTGTTAACATTATTCTATAAGCAATATGAGTATTTGGAAAAGAATCAAGTCTTTTTATTTGATTGAGAATTTTTATTAGATCATTATATTCTACTTGTATTATTTCCATTAACACTTTTAATTCAAAAAATGAATCTAAACCATCAATATGATAATAACTATCACATGATAAAGAAAGTTCGAGGTTAAGACAATTTTTTTTTAATTCTCATCATCTAGTGATCTCAAAATTTTACCACTAAATAATAAATCAAAAATATTTCCATATGTTTCAATTGGTTCAAATCTATTTTGAAGTGAAAAAGTAGCTTGATCTACTTTACATATATAAAACAATCAATTCTAAAAGGTTCTTCAAGGGACTTTGTGATTTCGCTATCCACATTTTCATCAAATTGTTTCTTACGAAATTCAGTTTATTTTCATCTCATATGCAATTTCCTTAGTAGAAATCATAACACTTATAGTACATATAATTATTATTGTTTAAATAACATATATAAGTAATTGTTTTTAAAAAATGGGGGCCCCAAAATATATGGGGCCCCAAGCGATGACTTTAGTGGCCTAGGGGTTAAGACGACCCTGATCTTAAAAAGGATAGTTCTTTAAATAAGGCTAAAATTAGAAGAAAAAATATGAGAATACTCTTCTTGATTTTGTGATAACAATAACATATTCAGTAAAATTTAAAAAAGATATCAAATTTTATTATTACCTCATAAAGATAGAGAAATCATTTCTGACTTCTTGATTTTGGAAACGCAACTTACTATGAAATGGAGAGGGGAAGGAGTAAAAGAATTCAAAAATAGGTAAAACATTAAATGATGTGAGCAGCTGACATTTGGCTCCATTAGTATATTAGCTTTTACCAGGTTAGGTTTCAGAGCAAAATTAACTGTACCTCAGGCAATAACTCCAGTTGGACCCTCCTCGAACATGATCGTTATATCAATTTAAAGATACTCTTAATACGATATAATAATAATTTTGATGAAATTTCCTTTTTAAGTAAGCGAACCTTACAGAAAAACTGAATAGACTATTGGTTGGAGAAGGATAGATTTGAAAAGGAATAATTAGTGTCTTTTTTATTTCCTAAACTGAATATTATTCTTGACCTAATTTATTTGACTAAAATGAGGTTTAAAATCAATGTAACGGCGGTAGTATTAATTTTGGTTGTATAGGGGGTTAAATAAGTTATTAATACTCAATTATGTTAGTTTGACAACTAAAAGATATAAATGAAATCTCAAGAACAGTTGTAAAATATTTATGCTAAATTAAACATGGTGCTTAATTTCATTGCCTAACATGGCGGTTGGAAAATGAAGTCGTGTTGATCACTTTATCTTAGAAACTTTTCGATATGAATTAAGATTAGTCGTATTTCAAAATAAATACTCTTTTCTTTCCAAATACTTATTATATTTTATTTTCAAAAATCAAAATACATAAATTTTGATTAACATTTTAAGATGTATTTTTCACGAAATTAATATTAAAATAATCACAATTCATATTTCTTTTCGTACAATTTTTAAATATATAAATTCTATTTTTTAAAATATTGAATTAATTTAATCTAATTGAGTTGTAAAAAATAGTCAAATTGACTCTCAAAATACAAAACACGGCAACTGAAAAATAATATTCTTCCGTCTCAAAATAAGTGTTACCTTAGAAATTAAAAACAAATATTAGTATGTTTTTCCAATTATTGTATCCTTATACTTCATCTTCTTAATCAACTTTTCAAGAGATATTAATTAAATAAAAAACGTTTAGTAAATTACACATTGTATTTATTGACTTTTTAATGATTTTTTGCTAAGATAACACTTATTTTGAGACGAAGGAAGCATCAATTATCTTTTTAGGTGAGACTTTCCGATATGATTTATTATTAGATTTAACGAGAATTGCCTTATGCTTCATTAAATTAAATTTGGTTAGCCGTTAGATTTTAAATGAGAGTTTTTAGTTCTCTAATCTTAGTACTACACCTAGATTTACAAAAATAAAATAGGACAAATATATCCAACAATAAAGCATTGATTAAAAGCTTTCTCATCACATTTTAGTTGAAGGTATTTACTATATTCTCAAAGTTCCATCAAACTTTATTCAATGCAATATATTAAATTCAAGAAACAACTCTATTTTTCTACCTTCAAATTAACTCCTCTCATCTAATTCTATACCAAATTCTTCTCTATTTCCCCCCCTGTTATAATCACACAATTAATTCTGCACTAAATTTCCCTTCTCCTACACATTATATAAATCTTGTCAATCTTTTCCATTTTCTCCAAACAACTCCCTTTTGCCTATACAAAGATTCAGGTAATATTTTATCCAATTATTTTCATGATTAGACTTTTTAAATTTTTTTTTTTCTTCTCTAGTAGTGGTTGTAGACTAAAAAAAATGACGTTATCTAATTAATTTGCTCTGTTTTAATATAAATACAGGGGATTCTTGATAAAGTTGTTCAAATTAGAAAGGAAAAAAAATGAACTACAGAAGGGAGAGTAGTCATGATCCAAAGCTTGATTTGAAGCTGAATTTATCTCCACCTAGGGAAAATAATAATAATAATATTTTTCCAATATCACCAAGCAGATCATCGTCATCGTATACTTCTTCAATGGAAAGATCACCAGCAAGTTCGTGTATTTCAAGGGAACCTACTCCAGATGATCATAATCATCAACAATTTTTTGGTAGCCCAGAAGCAACAACTACTTCAATGATGTTAGTGGGATGTCCAAGATGTTTAATGTATGTTATGTTATCAGTCAAAGATCCAAAATGCCCAAAATGTAAGAGCTCTGTTTTGCTTGATTTTTTCCGCGAGGATAGAATCAAGAATACAAAAAATTGATGATCATCGTGAAGAAATGCGAGGAATCTCAGTAGTTCAGTTGGTTGACTTTTTGAACTGTCATGGTGACTGTGATTCCTCAGTTGGTTGACTTTTTGAACTGTCACCTTGTTGGTGAGAGTTGGATTTCTCAGCTAATTAAAAAAAAATAATATATATATATATATTATATATAAAACCCTTTACTGAGGTTAATTAGGTTTTAGTAGTGTTTAATTTCTTTATATATGTTGTAATCCCTTTTGTCTTTTTGGTTGCTTAGAAGATAGAAGGGAGGAAAGAACTTTTTTTTTTGAGAGTTTGTTGAGGTAATTGAATGGATTTGATGAAAATCTTGAATGTAACCAAAGAGGCTAGTATGGTTTTGGTTGCAAGTCATATTATGGTCATAATATTAATTCATTCATGTTTTAGTAGCTCTTGGTTGCTATCTTTACTAAATGCATGCAATTAATATTTTGTTGTAACCACCTCGTTAATGCCATCTCTAAGTATACTTTTAAAATTTCAGTTTAATTAATCATACAATATTCACAATTCATTTTCTTGATTGATTAAAATTCGTACCAAATAAAATCACTATAAAATTAGGCCGTATTAACTTCATTCATAGAACTCTAACGTCAGATTTCTTGTCATTAAGTGTACATACAAGTTACAACACATGTTAGGTGTTCATAATAATTACTTGGGAGACCTTTCACATGGTTTTAGGTGTAATTCGAAAGAAATTATGTGAGTCAATTAGGTCAAATTAAAGCATTTATTAAGAAATTTCCTCAGTGTTCAAACATAAATTGGATACGAATTTGAGAAGGAAGGAGGGGAAAAGAAGCAAAGCATCATTGACATTAGTTTGCGGTATTCGTTTTGGAGTTCGACTAATTAAATTTTATGTCAGAAAGTCTCATTTTTGGAAAGTTCTATATCTAGAGCCGAATGTAAGACCTCTGATAAAATAAAATACTATTCACCACGATCTTTAATGATTCTTGAGACTTGAATGGCCGGCCTCGTGCCAAAAAGGATCATCATTAATTGCGTCCTCATCAAGCTTTCACTTGATGAGAACTTTAGCTTGGATATAAAATTAGATTTTACTTTTTAAAATTTACTTAGTTTTAGAATAAAGATTGATTACACACATTCAAATTCCATGAAAACAAACAATATCAAGTATTCATATTTCAAATTAACATTTTAAACATCATTTGAGTGGTCATTAGTGGGGTTATAAATTAATTGGGAGATTATTACTTAAAATAGCAGTCAATTAGTTTTAGTTGATGAAAGTGACACAAACGCGTTCATATAATAATCGAAGTCTTAATTACTTGCGTGGACAAGTTTTAAAGTCCAACTTATAATTAATTACCAATTGTCAAAAGGGCGGCCAAATTGTGTTAATAACATCTTTATCAATTTATGAACAATAAACGGTGGGTGAGCTAATTAGCTGCATTACCATGTATTATCATTTAATGTAAAGCTACCATTTTTGGATTGTTGACATGTGACATTTAGAAACTTCCACAGTTGGATTCATTTCCTAGTTTAATTAAAGAAACTTGTATTTCTTCACCTATATATCTATTCTTATTGGTTGGTTCTTCATAAAGCTTGTTGAGTCTAATGTCATGTCTCGCTACTTTGCCACTCAAATATTTTTCAGGTTGTGAAAAGGTTAGTGGAACTCTAGATATTTTCCAGGAGTGCTTTAAAATTTTCTAGAGTTAGAGTGAATTATAGAATAGAAACTAAAGTGTAAATATGTAAGGACTTGTATAGTAAATGTTATTTATACTTAGGCTTCTAGGAAGTAGTAGTAAAAATTGAGGGTCTCTCATTTGCAAAGGCATCCAACAAGTTGTAAAACATTCTTCAAGCAATACAAAACCTTCTTTCAAATCTTTCTTAGTTTTTCTTCCGTTCTTTCATTCTTTTAGCGATCTTAAATTTCAAAGGGCTTATTTGAGCTTATAAAAACGTGAAAGATTTGTGAGTAATTTGTCAAGTACCGCATGAAGCATTAGTGAGACTCTAAGTCCGTGACACTAAGGTGTATGAATTAATAAATCTTATTTAGGCTTAGAAGGGTGTGGACATTGCAGTGGTGGAGTCAGAAAATTTAAATATATAAATATATACATAAAACTAAAATTTAACCTACCTAAGCAATGTAATTTCATGAAGAAAGACATGATATTTGTCATTCTCGTGGTTTAGTTCAATTATCTTTTAATCCCCTTAGCATAAGATGGCTCCACCACTAGGCATTGGTTGGTTGGTTCATAGCCTTGGAAAAGGTAAGTTTCCAATCGATGTAATTTGTATATATTTATGAATCCTTTTAATACAAATATATGATTCGAATCAAAGTTATTGAATTTGACTATTATCATAATACGCAGAAGTTTCCCCGGAATAACCGGGCATAATAGTTGCTTACCTAACCCAAAATGAAATCAACAACCATGGCCTATCCTTTTAAATTCGTAGGAATAGCACTAGGTAGTCGATAATAATGACATCCTTTAAAACATAGCCGGTTATTGAAAGTTATTTAAAGTTTAATTAATATTAACAAATTTCAGACTTGTGCTGCTGCTCCTTCTCCTCTGGATACTGGTATGGGTTTAGAACTTGAGATTTTATTAGTCGAGGATCTCAAGAAAATATATTTTTAGACGAGAGACAAAGAAGTATCTATTCTCTCTGTTCACTTTACATATTCACTATATTAAAATAATTTTTCACTTTTATTTATTAACTTTAGCATATTAAAAGAGAAACAATTTCAAATCCAAAATCCGAAGAACTGAAGTTTGAATTTTTTGACCCACGATTTTCAACTTCAATAATATAAGTTTGAATTTAATTCTGTAGTGGCTAAATTTTAAATTTCTATATTCTTTCTCTTCTTTAAATAGAGATCCTAAAAACTTCCAACCTTAAATGGTAAGTCTAGCAGTCTAAACTTTTCTGAAAGCCCATTACAGTTCGAATTGCGACCCAACAAATAATACATGTAAACATTACATAAATCTCATATGGTTAAGAATTAATTATGTCTTATTCCTATTCTTTCTCAAATTATAAAAATCTCTTAAATTTATAGGATCTCGGATACATAAGGAAGCATGTGGATACATAGCACACGAATTGCGAATGATACATTACTTAATGTGAGTGATGTACAAATAATACCTACCATAAAAATTACATAAATCTCATATTGTTAGAGTTAATTACATTTTTTTTCTAATTTTTTTCCAAATTATAAAAATCTCTTAGATTTATGGATCTCGATCACTAAAAGGAACAACATGAGACACTTGCCAATTATTCGAATTGTAGAAATAAGGAAATATGTGGATACATAGCACACGAATTGTTATACTTAATGGGAATGACGTATCCGAGAGGAGATAGAGATGTATCCGAAAGGGGAAGGATGTATCCAGAGGAGATACATATATATCCAAGAGAGGATAAAGATGTATCCGAACAGGGATTTTTATAATATTTTTAGATGATAGAAAATTTTAGAGATTATGATAAAATAAGATACGTATTTATGTAATTTTTCCAATATCCAATGGGCTTCGTTCCCCTCATATTGGGAATAAACAACTACAACCTTTGTGCTATATTGGTTGTCCATAACTCCATATTACAAAAAAAAAAAATAGTTGTTTTAAATTACTTTGTCAATTTACAAAATCGAAATTGAAATTAATTGTGTTTTTCTATTTTATCCTTACAATTAATTTTTATTAAAATGTGTAAGCAAGTTTGTAAAGTTTCAAAAATGTTTCTTAAGAGGTAGATTAGTAAAACTATCCTTATTATTTATAATTTCTTAAGGGACGTGTAAAAGAAAAAAATGGACAATTATTATGGGACGGGGGAATAGTTACTATTAAACAATAGGTTTCTTCAGGGTAAAATGGTACCAATAGTTAAGACAAATTAGAAGTTCTTGATGATAAATAATTCAAATAATGATCCCAAGGACATTGAGATTATTCTCTTCAATTTAAAAAAACAAAATGAAATTCTAGTTGATTTTACTCAAAAGTGTTTTGAAAGAAGAAAAAAATAACTCTATGATTATCACTATTAGAAATTGCTATCAATTGAGTCGTGCTAGCAGAGCTAAGCTCTGCATAGCTAACACTATCATGACGCTATGTTGAACCTGTATTTACGAAGTTCCTATTGACATACACAAAATGTAGGGATGCCCTTGATGATTCGAATAAATCAATTGATGGTAGCAATCAGCCTACTTTCATATGCACTAAGGTTGGAGATGCCCTTTAGACTTTTAAAGACAAGTTAAGAACAAACCTCAACTCTTGGTTAAATTTTTCTGGTCTTTCTTTGATTTTTTCCTATCTATTTCCCTTAATTGGAATATAAAAACAGGATTAACACTGCAATTTTTTTCGTTTTTTTTTAAAAATTTATTATATCAAAGGAAGCAGAAGTCTATATTTCCTGGCCAGAAAATGCACATGGGAAAGGAAGAAGTAATAGAAGTTGTCAAAATTGTATTGGCAACTGTCAAGCAGTGTCATGATTCATGAACTATATTTATGATGTTACAATCATGTCCTACAAAAGCACAAAAAAGTACTGCTTTTAGTGGGCAAAATATCATATGCCAACCATAATATTAATTGGTACTATCACTCTACAACTTTTGGAAGGAAGTCTCGTAGTAATATTACCGCTAATCAGATGCAGAGTCGGGATTAAAACTCTTGCTTGAAAAGCATTTTCACAGCGCCTTCCTTACCACTAAGTCGTCAATCAGTTTTGTTAAGAGTTTTACAAGTTAATATACATATATATTTATTTAATGTCTACAGAAAAACTACAGAATTTGTCTGAACCCCCACTTAGCTCCGTCTCTGCGGCCAACACCACTACTTTAGTCAAATTCAACTTTAAGCTACTGAGAGTATATTCATAAATCATAAATTTAAATGTTGGTTCTTGTTATATATCATTAAGCACAGAAATAAGTACATTTATTTTCACTTGATTTAAATCTTCCAGCAATAGCCATTATGATATGAGGCCTCTAATTCATTATACAACTAAAACTAAACATTCCTCTGAATGTTATCATCTACTACCCCCACTGACCACTAGACCATAGGCCTCAAAAAGGCAAATCTTTGAGTGATTAGCCTCAATTATGTAGTGCAAAAACTTACAAGTAAAAAGGGACTAAAAGTTTCACCATTGCCTTTTTTTTCTCATTTGCACATTTGCTGCTTGAAGCCAAACTTTTCATTTTTGAGATCAAATTCAACTAAGTAATTCTGCATCTGAAAATTGCCCAGAATTATCGATGGACCGGTAGATAATTCAGGGCCAAAAGCACTATCTGTGACCATAGTTAAACAAATCACATCAGTTTCACCTGC